TCGCTCGAGTGCGACGCTCACATGCTAGGTAGTTGTCTGGGAGGGTTGGTGCATCATCTTTCCATGGGAATTTTGCTGCGTAACTGCCATTTGGGTTTCTGGTAATAGAGGTGTTGATGTAATTTTCCAGGAAATCTTGTTGGTTTTCAGTGCAGGATGGCGGAGTGATGCCAATAGATTCGAGGGACCAGAATCTTTCTAGATCAAGTTCTGTTCTTTTGGTGGATCTGACTGTCTGCAACAGGCTCACAAGGGTGTTGGAGGGTTTGGAAGGTGTTGGTAATGGCCCAGAGAGAAGATAACCAAGTTTTGATGCAACAGCAGTGGGTCCCTGACCACGAATTACTTCATCTTCTACTATATCCCAGTAATGGTCGGCTCCGATAAGCAATGATATACGAAAGTTCTCTTGAGCTGTAATAGGATGGGCTAGGGTTAAATTCTTCAGGTGGAGCATATCGTTTATATGTTGACGAGGTGGAATTTGGAGGGGTGTTGCTATCTCCTCAACTACAAGAACTTGTAATGGAATTTGTTGTCCAGTACGGGTGATGATATAAACAGTAGCAAGTGGTAGGTGACGTCTAGCTGAGGTTTGGGCTCCAAAGGCTGATAGTGCAATTTCCTCTGTTTTGGAGGACATAACTCCAAGCTGGTTTGCTAGGTCAGTAGTAATAAAAGACCGTTGAGCTCCTTCATCAAGAAGAATATTGGCATCACAATGAAGTTGCCCTGTGCTCACAGTTGCAATGGCTGTTTTCAAAAGCGAAACATGTCTTACTGTTGGAGAATGGGTGGATGGGACCAGAGTTGCATGGGTGGGTGTTGGCTGTGGTGTATTTGGAGTAGTGGGAAGGGCTTGTTGATTGTTGGGATTTTGGTGGAAGGGAGGGGGTGGAGGTGTTAATGGAGGGAGGTTAGGAGGCATCATTGAATGAGGGCATAGGGTGGTGTGGTGTTTCCCCTTACATTTCAGACAACGGAACTTGGATTGGCAGTTTGATGACTTATGATTTCCCAAGCAATTGAAACACAGTTTTTCCCTTTTCGCGATTGTCCACCTCTCTTGGCAATCCTTTACAACATTACAATTGTAGGTGGGGTGAGGACCCTTGCAATATACACATCGTTTAGTAGTGTGTCCCGGTTTGTATCTTGTGGTATGATGTTGGTTTCCTTGTGTTTGTGTGAAAAACGAACCTGCTGTTGTGTGTTTAGGTGATGGCAATGTAGCTTGCATTAGATTGGATTGAACACCGGCTTCTAGAATTCTTATTTCTTTACGAATGGACTCTCTCAGTTGTGTAAATTTCCATTCGGGACTGTCATGGTCACGGGCTAAGTTTGTTCTGAGTTGACGTGGTAATTTTCCCAGAACAATTGGGACTAGGAGGTCTCCATAGTTACTGTGGGCTTTGCCGAGCGATTCTAACCCCCTAATGTGGTTTTCCATAGTGTCATAGAATAGTTGTAAACTTGCTAGTTCATAGTTGGGGTTTTGCAGATCAAGTAGACACTGCATGTGTGCATTAATTACTTTGGTGGGGTTACCAAATCGTTCCTTTAGGAGTTGAATAGCTTTGGTATAGTTATGGTTTGTGAGGGGAAACCCTGCAATAGCTCTTGATGCATCACCCACCAGTTGGGCCTTAAGGTAACTAAACTTTTGTACATCCCCGAGGGTTGAATTGGAGTGGACTGCAGCTTCAAATGAGTCCCAGAATGTAAACCATTGTAGCGGGTTCCCAGAAAATGTTGGAAGGTTTAATTTTGGTAGACGACTATTTTGATTGATAAGGCTGGGGTGGTGGGGTGTAGTTGTTGGTAGGGTTGGTGGAAATACTGGTATAACTGGGGTCTCTTGGTGAAATTGTGTGTTTGTAGCGGGGTGACCATCTTGTTGTGACTGTGCATTTGTAGAGGGTTGACTATCTTGCTGTGATTGTGCATTTGTAGAGGGTTGACTATCTTGTTGTGATTGTGTGTTTACAGGGGGGGAATTATCTTGTTGAACAATTTCATTAGGGGTCCCTGAGTCTGTTTGATCATTTGTGTTCACTGTTGTTGATGGGGATTGACTGCTTGTATTTTCTAAGATTACTTGAGTTACTTCAGAGGGGGAGTTACTTTGAGACAATTTTGTAGATTGAAAATGTTCAATAATGTTACTTATCTGAGCTGCTGTCTCGTCAATTTCTTCTTTGATGTCCTCGGTTTGGAATATTTCTCTCTCCAGTTCCTTTGGGTCTTCGATCATGCCTACGATTTTCTCATCTGGTTCTTCTAGAATCGACCTTTTCCGAGCTAATTGATCAACGATTCTCTTTAAAGATGTAATATCACTGTCCGTTAGGGGATCCTCCTTCGTTGCAATATTTGTAGCTTTCTTGATTGTTTGTGTCAAATGGGCCCGATAGCCCGCTCGCGATGCTTGAAGTTTTGGTAGATTTTCCGCCATAATCCAGGTCACGGCACCAATTAATGTAGAGTAGAATGTGTATGACGGAAATAGAGTACTTGACTTCGTTTAATAGAGTAATATGCATAGAAATAGTACAACCTTTATAGTAGAATATAAACCAAATACGCTATAGTTTTAGTCAATCTCTGAATCGAGCACATGTAAATATCATCATGCGCATGCGCTAAAGTCCTGAGCTATATACTGTATACTGGAATGTTCATATTTCTTCGACAAGGAGGTTATGTAATCATCTGGGTTTGTATGTGTGTGTGTATGTGTGTGTGTGTATGTGTGTGTGTATGTGTGTGTGTGTATTTGTCTGTGAGCACGATAACTCAAGAAATACCAAACATATCCGTACGAAATTTTGTGAGTGCATTTCCCATCGGCTAAGGAAGAACTGATTAAAATTTGGTTAAAAATTGAATGAGAAATAACAAAAGTTTGTCTTGCTTTTCCCGGTCAATTAAATAAAACTTTATACTGAATGCGTAATTAGGACGTGCATAATATATGCACCAGCCATACAAATTCTAATAACAATAGATTACTTCATAATTTGCGCTAGGCGGAGGTATGCAGTCTCTGAGTGCCCTCTAGTTATACACTGTAAAACTTCGCAATAATAATATTGTATGTTAATATTTTGCAAGTGTTCGCCAGACAATAAATATAGTCCAACATAAACTTGAATCACAAGGCTGTCATTATTCATTAAGACAGTCAACAACATTTGGCAACTAAATTAAGTTTACCTAAGGAGCGGTACGGTGCATTGGAATTAATGAATTATTAAATATCATTAATATTGATAAGCATGATCATAAATTGTGCACTATTCAATATTCATTATATAATAAATATACGTAAATCATGGAACTATTCGTCTATTCTTTTATTAAAATAATATACAGGAGCATATAAAACCATTAATTTTAAAACCATGCATTCTAAATAAATAACACAATTATAAATATTCAACACTTTCAATAATCGTTAATAGTCGTTACTTACTTGAATCACTTTGCTTTTCCTCAGGTATTTTCTCAACTCTACTTGAAGTCATTTCTAATTTCAGTGTAGTGTGCCAGTGTTTCAATGTCACATGTTTGGCTGTTCTCCCGCTTTGGGAGAATTTGGAAATCAGGCAGTTTCAGGCAAATACCGTAGCTTGCAACTGACGATGAACAGTCGCTCATAAAAACATTCCCTATTCCCCGAATTCCCGTGACAAAGTCAATGTTTTATACATATTCCGCAATATTCTTCCGCAATAGGAATTTCCTTGCTAAAATACCGAAAAACTCTACCGCATGCGGACTTTTCAAAGTTGGTTTGCCGCAATAAACTACCGCAGTAGCACCTTTTCAAATTGATCTGCCGCGGAAGATCTCCGGCTAAAGTGACGAACTTTCCACTATGGCCATAGGCAGCCCACTAAAGACTGAATTTAAATTAAAACTACAATGAAATTATAAAATTTATCACAAAATAATCATAAATTAGCGAAATATATTGCAAAATATAAGCTACATCTTGCAATATATTTCGCTAATTTGTGATTATTTTCGTTAAATTTTATAATTTCATTGTAGTTTTAATTTAAATTCAGTCTTTTAGTGGGCTGCCTATGCTATGGCGCAAAAGCCGTCGGGTTTTAAAGCAATTATAAAATCAATATTTAAAACAAACTTACCTTCGTTAACGTCGGCTCCCTTCTTTTAGCCGATTCTTTCATCCTTTCTTTCTTGAAATTTACAAAATCTTGCGAAAATGCGAGCAAAAATGAAATATATTTGCAAGAAATTTATCAATCATCAAATCAAGAAATTTTTGCTATTTTGCTGTCGTCATGCACTCGTTACAATCAACATAGGCGTACGGGACGGGGGGCAGGGGGGGGGGGCAGCTGCCCCCCCCAAAAGGTTACAAATTTAAAGTCGAAAAGTCGGGCAAATGTTCAACATAAGTCGATCGAAAAGTGGGAAATTAAAAAGCCAAAAAAGTAGTCAAAGCAATAAAATCTCTCTTAATAATAACCCCAGTTTGTTGGGCAAACAAAGCCAGTTGGGCAATATTCCCTTCACAGTCAGGCAATATTGGGTTATTATAAAAATAAATGGGACAAATTCTGTCAATTTTGCAGGAAATTATGTCAATTTTGTGATGTCCGAAAAATTTTTGGACCCCTAAAATGGTACACTGATCGAAATTTTTTTGGCGACGGGGGGGGGGAGGGGGTGGTGGGGGGGGAGGTCGCCAAAATTAATTGTTCCGGAAAAAAATTTTCGGCACTGGTCGGGCACAATCCGAAAAAGTCGGGCAAATTTCTTTCCGCCCCCCTAATTTTTTCGTTCCGGTACGCCCATGATAATTTAGAAATTAAACGAGACTTACCTGGAAGTTGAAGTTTGATTGGAATTCCACCTGGTCACCAACGCATGGGGCTCACATGAGATAGCATTGCGCCTGAGCAGATCAGTCTTTAAAGTATGTTTATGTGCGGCTGAAAACCACCATAGGGAGAGGAGGGTAGGCATGTGAGCCCTATGCGTTGGTGACAAGGTGGAATTCCAATCAAACTTCAACTTCCAGGTAAGTCTCGTTTAATTTCTAAATTCCACCTTGTCACCCGCATAGCGGGCTCCCATGAGATTTCAAAGCTCAGCCTCACATAAACCAAACAAATCACACATTGTTAAACAAATATAAACATTTAACATCATTCATTGTTTGATTCCAATACAACAGTAGCAAATGACTTGTTTGGCGTCTTAATACTCTTATTATAAAACTTTGCAAATGTACACTCTGAACTCCATCCGGCAGTTTTAAGGATGTCATCTATGTGTAATCCATTCGCGTTCGCCTTGGATACGGCTGCACACCGTGTACTGTGGGCTTTAAATAATGTGGTATCAATACCCGCCTGTACCAGAACCAATTTTAGCCATCGACTTATAGTGTCCACTGTGACTGGCTTGAATGGCTTAACATAACTTAACAACAACTGTTTATGCTTACCTCGATATGCGACAGTTCTGTTCATGTATTCGTTTAATGTTGAAACAACACAAGTGTTGGGATTGTGTGGGAATGCCTTTAATTATATACGTGGTGGCGTATACCCAGGTCTTGACTGTTTTATATGGTCTTTTATAGTAAACACGTAAGAAGTGTCATCTTTGACCATATAGTCAATATTTAACAATTGAATAGATTGACGCCTCTGAGCCGATACCAGCGCAATTAGCATAGTCAACTTCAGCGTTAAATCTTTCAAGGTGATATCTGTTATGGGAACCAATGTCTTTAAATGATGTAGCACATCTTGGACATCCCAAATATTGTGATATCGAGGTGTCGCTGGCCGCAGCTGAAAAATACCTTTCAAAAATCGTCTAACCGTAAGGTGAGCACCCATTGGATAATTGTCTATTGGTGCAACTAAACATGAAAGTGCAGACCTTGCTGTGTTCATAGTACTGTAACCTGCACCCTTTTCATATAACTGGACAAAAAAGTCAAGCACTACTCCTATAGGAGGTCGAATGAAATCAATCTGCCTCTTACCACAGTATGTCTTCCATCTGTTAATGTAGCTTTGGTATAGTTTTCCAGAACTGGGTCTCCAGAACTGGGTCTCCAGGAGCTGACAATAATACTTGTTGCTGCTGCAGATATACCTTGTGCTTCATAAGATTCCAGGATATCTGACAAGCAAGAAGCGTCAGATTGCTGTGCAGAGGATGAACCCTGTGTACGTCCCATGGTAGCTGCAGTGTTGTTTTGCTCTTCGGTATGATCCAAGGAGTCTCTGTTAACAGCTGCATCAGTTTGGAAAACCAGGGTTGTGTTGGCCAATTCGGCACCACTATTATTCCTTCTGCTTGATCCCATTCCACTTTCTGTAGACATTGTGCTACTAGACTGAATGGTGGAAATGCATAAAAGAAAAACTTAGACCAGTCAATACTAAATGCGTCAATATGTGTAGCCTCTGGGTCAGGTCGCCACGACGCAAAGCATGAGACCTGCCTATTCAAGCGCGAGGCAAACAAATCAGTGTTGGAGGAACCAAACTTTCCCACTAATTGTTTGAATATATCTGGTCTCAACCTCGTACCCAGGGCCTTTGCGCGGTTCAGAGGCTCTGGTACGGGAAGCAAAGGCCCTGGTAAACACTGGTCATGTGACTCCAAAAATATTGGACATTTCGTAATAATTTAGTTTTCAATCCGGGGGGAGCGGAGCCGATTGATTTTATCAAACATGGCAGCGCGAAGGCGCGACGTTTTCGAGTTTTCATATTATTATGATAAATAAAACTTTCCTAGTGAGATTTAAGAGTGGGTATATATTATCTATGCATTCTACGAGCTTTCTTTCAACAAATTGTGGAATAGCTAACGGTAATACTTATCAAAGATCGAAGGACGAAGATCAAACTGAGAGAAAACTAGTCGAGTGATCTGTCTTTAAACGTTTTATAAAGAATTAAATAAACATTGTTGATTATAAGTAATTTTTATGTATTGACCAAAGAATATCACTTGGGATTTTATTGTACTTTTATGGAAGGATAAATCAGAGGGGACATCTATGGAAACGAAATTCTTCATGTGTATTAAACATGTAGTTATCAAAGCAGAATATTTTGAAACAATTAACTGGTCGAGTGACAGGTTGGTTTCCGTATGTATGTAGTTTAAAATAGTTGTGAATGAAATTATACACAGTATCTTGAAACCTTTGTGTGGGTGAGTTAATTTCATACTTATTTTTTGGGATGTATCATCTATATTTCTGTTTGTCTGGAAGGGGGAGGGGGGTACCAATCCTGAATCATGAGAAATAATATGCAGTGATCTTGAAACAACAAATTTACTATGAATCTTATATCAGTGATATGTGACTTAGGAGCCTTAAAGGCAAATAACAGTCTGTATACTGGGTGTGCGTTCACCTATTTGTTTACATTTGCAGTTACTGTACATCGGTTCATGATTTATGAAATTTGAACCAAAGCTTAACATAATATTAGTCACTATGCAGAGTTTTATTTGTATTGAGGAGGTAGGGCTTCTAAGAGAGACACAGAGGCTTAATGAATATGGTTACACTGAATTTTATCAGTAAGTAAAATATTTCATTTTTTACATCCTGAAACCAAAAATCACCATATTATGCATGAATTACATATCACTTTCACTTGTCACAGAGTGAACATACCAAATTCAAACAACATTCACACTGTTTCTAGATGAAATAATCAACCGATATTTTGGGCAAACAATATAATTCATGAGGGGAAAAAAAAATTTATATGTGTGCACATAGTTTCAAGATCAGCTAACAGGATTGAAACCAGCTTTCCCAGTTATGCTTGGAGCTGATGAGAACAGTTAGTTTTGAACACAAAATGGCATGGGACTTAATTCATCTAGGTGGCAATATATTGCCTTCTCACCAGCACAATTGATCAAGTCATACACATTCATTACTGCCAATCTCTATTATTTTATATGTCTTATTACAAATACAATATATTTTTGATCATTATCAGCAGTATCGTTACAACTTGTGCATCACCAATATCATCACAACTTGTATTTCACTACCATCATCATCATTATTCTCACCATTCTAATTTTATTAGTCAATCAGAATGAATAAAAAATTTCCTATTTTACACCACTCATATATTACTTATAAATTGCCCAAGGTCATGGCCATTTCACATCACTCCAGGATCTGAATACCCTGCAATCACCTTTTCGATATAATACTAAAAGAGAAACAAACGACAAATGTCTTACTGGCACACTGGAATATCATAATTGCCATAAAATAACTGTCATTTGAAACCACATTTTGCTGTAATAGCACAACTGCTCAAGGTTGCAAGGTAAATAATAGGGATGTAGTAAGGCCAGTATTACTGGTAATTGTCTTTTTACATTTTGCTCACAACCACAGTCCAATTATATGGAGCAAAAGTTAGAATATCCAGCCACTTTTTATTACTCACTTAACCTTACACTTGACAAGTAAAATTGTCTGGTGTTGGACAGAGAAAAATAAAATAATACAAATAAAAAAAAAGTATGCCATATTTGATTATCCCATATTCCCATTACTATAGTGTGACCACACAAGACTCTCCCTAATTGGATGGGTAAAATTGGGGGCTATGGAGATTTAATGGCAAGAAGTGGGGGAAACATTTTCTCCAGTAAAATTTATGGGGGCCATTGGAAATTTATGGGAGCCATTGGAATTTTATGGGGCGATAAAGAAAAGAATACCTGACTGTAAAATTAATGTAATCTAACTTTCTTGTCACACAAAGTTAGGTAACGTTGGCATTTTCACACTTTTCTATTATTATCGTACTATTCTGTTAAGTATTTATTGGATGAGTCAGAGACCAATGGATTGGTATGAGGGCAGTTAATTTGTAATTTTTGCATGTATTCTTTTACTAACTTTTGACGACTGTAATGTTTAGCCAGTTATGAAAGATTGAATATTTTCTGAGCAAGCTGGAACAGAAAATTTTTATTTTAGTGAACTAAGTGAAGGATGGAGATAACCAAAAAATATATCGGGCATGAAGGGGGTTATATCCAAAAGCGAAAGATGGAGGAGTAATTAAATGAAGAAAACTAATTATACAAACAGACAGCCACGAATCTGCTGGAATTTAGTATATATAAATTGATAAATATTAAAAGATATGAGAATATAATTTTATATATGCATCATAAAATCGTTTACCTCGAATATACTGCATTCTTTATAGCATATTGTAATTCAAAATCCATGTGACTTCAAAGTTTATAATTTCCATCAAAATAAAAACAAACCTAAAATCTGCTGTCTGTTGTTTTAAAATATGAATTTTCAAACAATTGTTATACATTCATATTTTAAAAATCGATATCAAAGGCAAAATCATTTGTATTTGAAACTTTTATATTTCGTGCATTGCAATGTTCAGTTGCTCATCCCCCCGGGATAACATGACCTAAATAAGGCCAGGTTACAAAAATGTCCAATATTTTTGGACACATGTGACCAGTGTTTACCAGGGCCTTTGCTTCCCGTACCAGAGCCTCTGAGCCGCGCAAAGACCCTGGGTACGAGGTTGATCTGGTCTAAACATCCACTCAGTGTTGTCATTGAAATGCTTTGATTCTTTGTCGGCGTCTACATTTGTAGACCCTGGGATATGTGTTGTGTTGCAGTAAGGTGCACCCCATGCTCAATGCACCAATTCCAAACTTCCTTTGCAAGCTTGTTGACCTGGGTGGACTTTGTCCCCCCCCCCCCCATGGAATTTACATAAGCAACAGCTGTTGTATTATCCATAAAGGCTTGTACATGCTTGCGTTGCAAATTTCTATAGAATGATTTTAAACCCATGAACAAAGCTTTAAGTTCTAAACTATTAATGTGTGTTCTTGGGATTCGAGGCTAGTCCATCGCCCCCCAATTGCAGTTTTATTTACTACCGCTCTGTGTGGATGGTGATATCAGCCTTGGGTCTCTCAACCGGCTTAAAAGCATTTTCAATATTATCAACCCACCACTGTAGGTCTTCTACGCATTCATTATTAATGGAAACCAGTGCCTCAAAGTTTCCTTTGCTTGATTTAAGCGCTTCAGATTTTAACATTTCTAATGACCTATAATGCAATGAACCATATTGCACTCCAGAAAAACTGGACACCAAAATGCCTATTAAGTGAGCTAGCTCTCTGATTGTAAGCTTTGGGTGCTTTAAGGTATGTAAACACAAATTTTTTAAATTAACTGTTTTCTCTGGTGTCAATGTAACTCGCATTTTAATGGAGTCTATGACAAAACCCAAAAAGGTAAGCTTTTGTACAGGTTCATAGACAGATTTATCTGGATGGATAATAAACCCTGCCAGATTCAACAATTCGTCAGTTTGCAAAACATTATCTTTACATTCTTGCCTAGTGTCACCTTGGAGATAAGAGTCATCAATGTAGCTTGCATTAAGATGGCCCAGCTGTCTCAGCATAGCATATATTGGTTTTACAATCTTGGTAAACTGACACCCGTGGGCCAGAAGCTAGTCCATTAGGCAAGCATGTTAAAACTGGTAAAGTGTGCCTTTCCAGTAAAATTTTAGGTATTTTTTGTAGTTTACATCAATAGGCACAGGATAATAAGCATTTCGGAGGTCAATCGATGCCATATGGCACCCTGGTCTCATTAGAGCAACAGCCGACGGTAGGGTTTCCATTTTAAAATGGTGATATTCAACATTGGTGTTCAACTCTTTGAGGTTTAATATCAGTCTATGACTGTCATCTTTCTTGGCACGAATGAATATTGGGGAAATGAATTCCCCTTGACAGTGCTGTGTAACTTCAATTACTCCCTTGCACATAAGCTTATCTATTTCATTGTCTATGATGCATTGTTCTTTATCATTAAATTTTGTTTCAGGATTGCGAGACCAATTATGGCCACAGATCGCCTCAGGCTCGAGTTAAATTTTATAGCCTGCTATTGTTTCAAGTATGAATTTATTAGATGTCAATTTTTCCCAAAAGTGAATAAATTGTTTCAGTCTACCCCCTATTTTTTTACTGTGAGAAAATGTTCGACTTACCGTTTCGGCAGTAGATGAACTCAGTTTGCAAATTTTTTGAACTTGCCTCGTTGATACCTCTTGTTGTGGAAGGGTAGCGACGCACTCGCTACCTGTCTTTCGCCTAAAAAAGGCCTAGGTCGTATGTTACGATTTCGTCCCCGATAACTGTAAGCCGGGGCTCTGGCATAAGGTTTGTTGTTATGCCTGGTCATTTTCCGACCGACTTTTTTGACCTCTGTAAGGTCCTTGACCTGCTTGGAGAGATCATCCCCAAACAACTGGGAAGACGAAGACACTGAGGCCGAGCACAAATGCTTGTAATCTTCGTGAAGGTCAGGTTTTATCAACTCCTTTCGACAAATATTAAGCTCAGAATTCGCATGAGCACACAAAGCAATAGCATCAGTCATGCTTTCAACAATCTCCTTCCCCACGGGCAAGATGGTCACATGTGCCAGCGCTGTGTCAGTGGCGCGAACAATTGCCGCCATGCCTTTGATCAAAGCCGTTTGCACTTTTTGAAATCGAAGATCTTGTGACCTAGTATTTGGTTGTAAATTATCCCAAATAAGCTGATTTACCCTCACTTTGGACAATGCCTCGCAGTTTTCTGGGCTTGGATACTTGTTTAGTTTATCTTGGAGTTTTTCTTCTGATAAACCTTTCTGCACAAGTCCGTTCACTATTTCAGCAAGGTCATCGTTAACCTTGGGACCCGTTTCAGCCGTTTTCATTTCTCCACGTATGCCATCAAGCACACTAGGCTCTTTAGCCTGTTCAGTAGCATTTTGAGTCTTAGCTCGTTCAATCATGCGTTGCACATTAGTGCCGTCTGAGACGTCAGGCTCTTCCTGACTGTGTCTGTCGTTTTGGCGGCCATTTTTGCCATCACTGCTATTAGCATTGCCATTTCTTTCAAGTTCTCCTTCTTCTAGTTCTGTGAGAAATTCGTCCTGAATAGGATCTACATCGAACTTGTCGGAGAAATTTTTAAATGCATTTTCTATCGCCGTAGATAGACTAGTTGCCATTTTAGCAAACCATTGCGCCAAGGTTTGCTGTAGTTGTGTTTGCTCATTAGAGCGTGAATCTGCTGTTGTCGTTTGTTCAAGCAGACTATGTGGTTCACGCCTCCTGCCGCTTGAACTGGCCGTCTCGCTAGATTCACGGTGGACATCCACCTGCACCTCATTAGAGGTTTTACTTGTCATTATTTAATATTTCAGCAATATTTAAAAAAAATTTTCTTCGCTCAACAAATATACCGACCGTCTCGCTCAAGGAACAACAACGCACTGATCTGCTCAGGCGCAATGTGGAATCAAAGATTAAGTATATAAGGATGGCCGACTCGCGGAAAATTCCTTTGTTCTCGGTGTCCCCATATGGGTGTCCCCCGTTTCGAAAGCCCACGCGGTTTCCACGCGTTTCGTCTGGTAAGCTGCGAACAAAATTTTTGTATTGAATTGTATGGCAAAATGCCGAATTTACGCAATAAAACAGCGATTTTAAAAACATCTACCGTTCGATCTTTATTTCGAGGACAAAATTTGAAAGAACATGTCAAGCTGCGTCTGTTAAACGGAAAATTATTACACGAATATGTTTAAAACGAACGAAAATTTGGATAAACGACCTTCGAAGGAGTGAGATCTTAATATTCTGTCAACAAGTCAGGTGAGATTCTTTTCATTTCTTGATCATTTTTCAATAGTGTTTTGTGAAATTTCGTACCTTAGACAACAGATGCATATAGGACTATTGCTAACCGACACTAAAAATATGTTTTGGTTGCGTACAACCAGAGTTTTTATTTACTGTACAGATTACAAACAATATACTAATACAAACAATATTCAAATATATAGAAATATTATTTTGTTAGGCTAGTACCAAAATGTTTCCTTATACACAAAGATAGTAAAAGCATTTAGACTTGAAATATATCTTTGAGACCAAACGCTATACTGTTAACTGAAATTTTGGGGATTTGAATTTATTGAATTGAGTCAGGTACCAATCTAAACACATTCCTATGCTTAAATAAATAACATTGTTATATAGCTAGCGTGAACACCAAACGTGATTGGCTGATTTGTGGTCACGTGACTTCAGATAAATGCAATGTTTCCCGCCAGGCAACAAGTGAAAAATTGTTGCCCGCCCCGACCGGCCACGTACATAAATAAACAAAATGGCGGCACAACTACGATAATTAGAAACTACGATTTTCCAAGTTTGTGTTCAAATAAAGAATGTAAAAGGGAAGAAAAATACAGAACAGGAAACAGGATATGCTGCCGAAACCGTTTAAGTAGGTTCTTTAATTTTAAACTCGTTTACTCTATAGAGTTTTTGCCACGAAAAACAATTGTTGTATATAAATGTTGTTGAAGTTGATTTTTGTTCATCGCTATATAACAAAACACTTAATGTCTGTTCCCTCGACTTCGTCTCGGGAAACATTGAGACTCTCGGGAAAACAAAACTAACTATTTCCCTCGGGAGCAGATATTAAGTGTATAATATCAGTTATTATATATCAATAGTCAAAGTCGCATTTTTCTAGTGTTTTATTGGTTGAGAGCATATCACGTGAGAGTGACGAAATTAGGCTGTCTCCCTCGCAACAGCGGGAGAGGGAGATAATACGTTATCCACCGGCGAATAACAAAAAAAATCACGTGCGCCATCACGTGAAGGTGCGACCTTTGGACATGCCTAGTACGTAATTAAAACTTTCGCTTTAAGTAACTGCAGTGTAGCCAGTGTTTAATATAACGTTTTAACCATAAAATATTTCATGTATTTACGTTCATTTGTTCTTTAATTTGTTGTTTCTTTGACTATTGATATATAATAAAACACTTATTTCCTGAGACCGAGGGAAAGCAGTGTGTTTTGTGGACCCTCGATCGTCGATGTTTCCCTCGGCTTCGCCTCGGGAAACATCGACGGTCTCGGGTCCACAAAACACACTGTTTCCCTCGGTCTCAGTAAATAAGTGATAATTGTCCAGGTAGTGTACTAAACCAATGACTTGCATTTATAGTCAGTAAGCATTATTTTGTATTTTGACATCATTTGTTTGACCATTGACGGTCCCTCGATCTTTATAATAAATACAACCTCACACTGGTTGTCTCTGTGTGTGCAGCTGTGTTTCATCCAATTGTATTTCTGTAAAATACACCCAATAAATAATCAAATTATTCTCTTTTTAGTTGAATGATAGACTTTCCATGTTAAAAGAGCTACAAATCTGCTCTTTGACTATCTGGGTAAAAGGTAATGACAATGGATTGTTGATCAACATTGTTTTGTGGAATGCTTATAGCTATCCAATTTGAAAAATACTGTCAAATATTCTATACATTTTGATGTTCTGAGTTCGATTATTTTATTGTATATTCCACATTGACTTAACCCTTATTAGGGTATACAAAACTTATAGTATTGTTAAATGTAAACATACATGCATGTGCACCTCTTCAAACATAATGTGAGTTGTGTTAGATACTGCTTTCTCTGATTGCACTCAAGCTGTCAAGAAATAGCAATTATTTTTGTTACCGAAGAAAATGGTATCAAAGCATATCCCTCATTATATTAAAATGCTACTGGATAACTGATCCCATAACAGTAATTAAATATTGTAATTATTAGACATTTTGTTTGTATATGCGAGTTATTGCTTGTTCGGACTATTGCACATGGTGAGTTATTGCTTATTTGGACTATTGCACTCAGTAAAATTAGCTTTGAAACAGTGCCTAATACACTTGTCAACGGAAACACGCACCCCTCCACCCCAGGGGAAACATGGGCATAAATAGACTTTTTTAGAAACTAATGAAAGAAAAAGCCCCACACATAGGGGCAAGCAAAACAGGCCAAAGCCACTTCTACAATAACACATTTAATAAAAGTTTCAAACATGGAATATTTAAAGTAGAATGATGAATAACTTTAAACATAAAACACTAACATGGCTTCTTGTGCAAAAACATCAGTCGTCCATTCGACAATAGGCTACCCATAGGATTATGGGTAGCCCACATGTAATCATGCCTAATCTTGTCCTCAAACTACACCTCCCACCCACCCATGTTTCCCCGGGGTGGGTGCGTGGGTGGTGGTGGTGGTGGGGGGGGGAGGGGGGGGGTGGTCCGATGACAAGTGCATAATACATATAGCAGATTTACGACAGACAAGGTGCTTGCTACAAAGACAATTTCTTGAGTTTAAGAGTCCAAATAAGTAATAACACAACATGCACATTCAAAGTTTAAGGTTTTGAAAGGAAATTAAATTACTGGCATGTATTTCATCATATTTTGTGTCTTGTGAATATTCGTTTAATGGTTTGGTTTAAAAACATAGTAAAATTTGTGTACAGTAGTGAATGATCAATACTAAAATACACAAGTTTAGTTTTTCAAATGCAAAAACGTAATTCATTCCAATTTATCTCGTTTTATACATGTATTCCTAATATTTTTTGATAATTTCAATGTATATATTAGTTTTTAAAACATTTTACATTACAGTAAATTATTTTGACCTTGATTTTCACAATTGTCAAATATAAACTTTTTTTGCACAATTTTTTTTCTTCTTTTTATCAAAAGTATAAATTTATCAAATTTAAATTTATAGCCTATAATTGTTTATTAGCCTGCAACCCAAATATAAAAGGCATGTTTATACCATAGAAATAATAGACATAATGTCTATTAATTATTTCTTTGGTTTATACACATCAAGTTCTGGTTGAGGTCTCTGATACTCGAATCATACAGGCACAATGAGTTTTTGTATATAAATTCTTTATTTTTTAGAACTATCCAAGACATCCAAGCAACGCATACAAATAGCACTTGACATTATAATAACCTAAAATCATCAAGACATTAGAAATACTTTCAAATTACGGCACGATTCAGTTTCAGACTGTGGAGAAAAATAGAACGATCAAACTCTGCAGTAAATTGTCTTTGTATATATATAAAAACTCTAGTTATACGCATCCCAAACATGTTTTTAGTGTCAGTTAGCAATAGTCCTATATGCATCTGTTGTCTAAGGTACGAAATTTCACAAAACACTATCGAAAAATGATCAAGAAATGAAAAGAATCTCACCTGACTTGTTGACAGTATAAAGGCCTGATTCCACGGGCGCTTTTTCTCGGCGAAATGCGAAATATTTCGCTTGTTTCTTTTGAATTGCGACCACTCGAATAAATTATTTCTACTTGATTGCCCACAATTCAAAAGAAACAGGCGAAATATTTCGCATTTCGCCGAGAAAAAGCGCCCGTGGAATCAGGCCTTAAGATCTCACTCCTTCGGAGGTCGTTTATCCAAATTTTGTTCATTTTAAACATATTCGTGTAATAATCTACTGTTCAACAGACGCAGCTTGATATATTCTTTCAAATTTTGTCCTCAAAATAAAGATCGGATTGCAGATGTTTTTATCGCTGTTTTATTGCGAAAATTCGGCATTTCTCCATTAACTTCAATACAAAAATTTAGTTCGCTTACCAGACTCTTCTCACGCATGCGCAGTGAAAAGGTAGGGACAGGATTTTCCGCGAGTCGGCCATCTTTATATACTTAATCTTTGTTATAATGCAAACTTTAAATTGGGCCAATCACAGTGTTCGCTATTCATGACAGTCCGGCATATTTTTGAGATCAGTGAGGATGACCACCCACGCACAGTGACCCACGCTCGCGATATTTGATGAACTTTAGACTCCGCTAATGCTTTCGTTTCCCCGGGTGTAAATAGCCGGGGGTTCGCGCCGTCGGCTCGGGGATTAACTACACATACCCTCTGTTATTATTATTATTATTATTATTATTATTATAATTCATTTATATAGCGCCATTTCCCATAGCTCAATAGCGCTTAACATCAAGTGTTAAAAATATATACTAAGTGTTAGAACATAGTGCATGCATTGACTACTAAAATTACTATACTATAAAATTACTAAAAAATAATTATATGCTCTTCTCGTTAAGAATATAAAATTACTTTATGTTATGTATGTTGATAATATTAAAACAACAACTATATAGAATACTATAAAATTGCTAATAATCTTGTTAAAATAATAACTTAGTCATAATACTGTTTAAAAAGATGTGTCTTTAATCTGGTTTTAAAAATAGGCAAGGTCTCACTCTTTCTAATATACTCTGGCAGTTCGTTCCACAGTTTCGGTGCAGCATATGAGAACGATCGTTCACCATAGTTCACTAGTTTTACTGAAGGTATGGTAAGCAATCCTTTGGATGAGGAGCGTAAATTTGCTGATGGTGTGTAAAGTTTTAGCATATTATTAATGTAATGTGGAGCTGAGCCATTCAGAGATTTATACGTGATAAGAACAATTTTATAGATGATGCGTTGACTGATGGGGAGCCAATGTAATTGTTTCATTAATGGAGTAACATGGTCGTATTTTCTGCTTCCTGTCACCAGACGAGCAGCACAGTTTTGCACATTCTGTAATCGATCTATAAGAAATTTAGGTAGTCCGTATAGCAAAGAGTTGCAATTATCTAGTTTCGATGTAATAAAGGCATGAACTAGGGTTTGGATATCTGATTTTGATAAGTACTCTTTTATTCTTGCTATTTTTCTCAAATGGAAAAAACAGTTCTTGCAAATGTTGGTAATATGTTTATCCATGAACATGTGTTGATCGAAGGTTACACCGATGTTTCGTGCTGAAGTACTTGGTTGAACTATTGACTTAGATATTTCTATATGGTGTACAGCAGGGCATAAACGATTTCGTGCATTGATTACTAGTAACTCAGTCTTGTCCCCATTCAATTTTAATTTATTTTTGACCATCCACAAATCAATCTCCTTTACACACATTTCGATTTGTACCAGTGCTCCCGCTTTTCCTTCAGTGGTTGACTCAAAAGCGAGATATAATTGCGAGTCGTCTGCATAAAAGTGAAAATCAAGATCATGACCTCTGATGATATCACCAAGGGGTGAAGTGTATAGTAAATATAGTATAGGGCCGAGAACTGATCCTTGTGGGACTCCACAGCGCAAGTCTTTAGAGATAGATTTAACACCGTCAATCACTACACTTTGCGTTCTATTCTGAAGATAGGACTGAAACCATCTCAACACTTGCCCATCTATCCCAAATCTTTTGAACATTCGTTGTAGTAAAGGTTCGTGATCAACAGTATCGAATGCTGCTGACATATCTAGTAATAGCAACGCCACACACTTACGATTATCAATGGCTACAAGAATATCGTTTTGTACTTTTAATAGGGTTGTTTGTGTTTATCAATCTCATGCAGAGGAAAAGCATTTCTTCCATTCTAATTTGAGAGATTCATTTTTGGTCATTTCATTATGCGCTGCTTCAACCATCTTATCTCTATGAACTGACAGTTTTGCATTGTTCATTAGGGACACACGGTGACTTTCTAGTGCGACGAAGAACACGTATCACTGATGTGTAACAGACCTCTACTACGATACTGCCTGTTTTCAGTGTGTTGTGAGAAAACTACGAAAGATGCCGTTATAATAGGCTTTATTCAACTTAAAATTGTACCTAACATTTTACAAATATGGCGGTCGAGACAATGTTTACATTCTGTGGGTCATACGCTGACCTTTATACTCTGGCTCAGAGCATACATTAAATATTCATAACATTCTCCCCGTCCTAATGTTCTACCTACTAACGAGAAACTAATAAAATCATAATAGTCTTAATAAATCTACCTATAAATATAAATATAAACTAATAAAGTTTATAAGATAATTTAAAAGTCTAATCTATCAATGATATGACCAATTCATAAGTTTAATCTGTCAACAGGTCGACGCGTGCGTGTCGACCGTCTTAAGGAAAAGTCTGCATTATGTTCTTCTACCGAATGACTAATTCCTGGTTTCTCTATCGAAGAGGATTGTTCGTTTTGGGTTGAGTCACCTTGTTCTCCATTTGATCTTCCGAAATCTTGTGGCTCATCAGTTGTATCGTCAGCAGGACTGCCCGTTACCTCAGCATTCGAGATTGAGTTGTTGTCGTTTCGTGCCACCGATGGTTGACAGGTCATTTCCTGGTCCCGAGGTGCAAGGTGCTTAATAGCTACCGTAGTTTCTCTGCCATCTGGATAGCGCACGTGAGCGTAATGAGGGTTAGCTTGAAGCAGTTCTACTTCGTCTACGAGCGGGTCATGTTTGCTTGATCGGACTTGACGTTTAATGAGAACAGGTCCAGGCTGTAATAACCATGAAGGTATAGAGCTTCCAACGGTTGATCTTCGGGAGAAACTAAAGAAACGTTCATGGGGTGTCTTGTTTGTCGCTGTACATAAAAGTGAGCGCACCGAATGTAGAGCGTCCACGAGAACTTCTTGCCAATATTTTAGTGGAAGATTCTTCGATTTAAGGCAGGTGACGATTGCTTTCCAGATTATGCCATTGTACCGCTCTACCTGACCATTTCCTTCAGGATTGTAACTAGTTGTACGACTTGTGGCTACTCCTTTTCCGATAAGAAAGGTTCGCAGTTCTTCGCTCATAAATGTTGCCCCCGATCAGAATGAATATAAGCTGGCATACCAAAAAGAGAAAAGAGCGTAGTGAGACACTTGATAACAGTGGTTGTTGTCATATCAGGGCATGGAAACACGAATGGAAATCGTGAAAATTCGTCAACCACATTGAGGAAATACCTATTCTTATCAGTTGTTGGCAGCAGGCCTTTAAAATCCACATTGAGCCTTTCAAACGGTTTCGTAGCTTTGATGAGATGAACTTGTTCCGGGCGATGGAACTGAGGCTTGCATTCGTTGCATGCTCTTGTAATCCTTCTTATCTCCTCGAGAGAATAAGAGAGATTCTTTGATCAGACAAAATGGTATAATCTTGTGACACCCGGGTGGCAAAGTGACTCATGAAGGTTGTAGAGCGACTCTGACGTTGTAGCACAAGTAGCGCGAGATAACGTATCAGGTGCAACATTCGACTTCCCAGGACAATAGACGATATCAAAACTGTAGCAAGCCAACTCTAGTTTCCAACGCATTATCTTGTCATTTTTAATTTTTCCTTTATGTTGGACGTCAAACATATACGAAACCGACTTTTGGTCAGTTTTGAGAGTGAAATGTCTCCCTGTTAGAAAATGTCTCCAATGGCGCACTGCTTCGATAATGGCTTGAGCTTCTTTCTCGACAGCTGCGTGTTTCAACTCGCTTCCTTGGAGTGTTCGTGAGAAGAAGGCCACAGGTCTACCATTTTGGTTGAGTGTGGCTGCTAAAGCCACATCCGAGGCGTCTGTCTCAACATCAAATGGGATACTTTCGTCAACAGCAGTAACAACAGCTTTCTCTATTGATTTCTTCAGGCTTTCGAACGCATCAACAGCTTGCTGGGATAGCGGGAAGGTCTTGCAGCTGGAAAGAGGCTTTACTTTATCTGAAAACGCTGGGATCCATCTCGAATAATAAGAAAATAATCCCAAGCACCTGCTCATGGATTTTGAGTTTAGAGTTGGATTTGAAGCTTATGCTTTGATTGGAAGTCGAGACCCAATATCAGGTCTGTGCACAATCCTGGCAACACTCTTAGACGAAGGTTTTCATATGTATGGTCTTGATAGGTAAGATTAGTCAAACAGTACCCAGCAACTTTAGTAACATTGTCGGAAGTAGCCAAGGATACTGTCCCGGAGGATGGGTGAACAAAGAGGGAAGCTGTCTCAACCAGGCTAGGATGAATGAAACTTTCGCTGCTTCCGCTATCGAAGAGTGCTTTAACTTTGAACCCATTGAGAAATACCATTGCTGACGATTTTGACAGAGATGCTGGGTTCACTGGAGGAGTTACTGTAGCCAATGTTGGGAACCAAACGGCTGCTGAATTTAAGCTGACGGGCTTGACAGCTGCTTTTCCCCGACAGACTTTCGCGAAATGTCCCTTCTTTTGGCACTTCATGCAAATGGCATCTCTAGCTGGACATTTGGATCGAGGATGTCTATTATTTCCACAAAAGAAACAAAATGCACCTTCGGTTGGCAAAGCTGCCAAAGAACTTGGATCTTTATTGTCCAAAGGAGGTGTAGCGGGTGGTGACGAAGGAACTGCAGCATTGAAACTCGCTTGAGAGTCCGTATAAGATTCGGAACTTTTCATAGCTGACTCGAGGGATCGAGCTTGGTCAAACATTGTCTTGAGATCCAGCGTTTTATTTTCTAACAATCTTTGACGAATCGAATTAGACAGAAGCCCTGTTATAAATGCATCTCGAATACTTTCGTCGCGGTACTGAAGGGCTGTAGCATTTTTAAAGTTACAGTCTTTACTAAGGGTCTTCAGCACTTGTAAGTACTCGTCAAGTGTCTCATTTGTCCTTTGACGTCTTGTGGCAAGTAAATGTCGAGCGTAAATTTCATTAGTTGGTTTGACAAACAAGGCTTCCAAAATTGAGATAGCTGCAGTGTAATCTTCACTATCCTCGATGTACTGAAAGACTGTAGGTGATACAAAGTTCGTTAACACACCGAATTTATCCAATCTTTCCCTTGGCAACACCGATAGGAAATTTTCAAATGTTCGTTTCCAATGCTGCCATTCGGTTGCCGCCGTGCTACTGTTAGGATCTGTTTCTAAGCGTTCAGGACGTAATACTTTATCCATAGTTTAAGTTGAATAAATTGTTGTGAGAAAACTACGAAAGATGCCGTTATAATAGGCTTTATTCAACTTAAAATTGTACCTAACATTTTACAAATATGGCGGTCGAGACAATGTTTACATTCTGTGGGTCATACGCTGACCTTTATACTCTGGCTCAGAGCATACATTAAATATTCATAACACCCTGGACGGAAAAGGGTGATTGACTAACATCTGTGAGTCTTCGTGGTTACTTGAGTGTGGTGTGAAACTGTGAGTGTGGGGCAGTTAAACAATGGAAAATGACCATGCGCGCACTGTTTGCCTGCAAAGCGGCCCTTTCAGAACCGGAAATCGGGCTGGAGCTCGCGTTCGTTCTTTTGATTTGGTAAAAGAAGCACGACAAATGAGTGAAATGGCATAATTTTACAGATAAAGCGCTAAATTTCAAAATTGTTCCGGGTGAGCATGCCTCCTGACCCCCTATAGTACTTTAATGTACGCAATGTATGCGTGGGGATTTTAGATAACATATCAACCATTCTAGCATTTACTTGACAAGTATAAAATTGATGCTTGTGATGTTACTCTGAGTATATATCCACACCCATATTTTTCAAGCTCGCCCGGTGTGGATACATACTCAGAGTAACATCACAAGCATCATATTCACCTGACTACATTACACCAACACAGAAATTCATTAAAGTATAAAATTGTCTGGCTCCACGGCTGTCTTGTTTCTGATTATCAGACTAAATCATCTATACATATAACCATGTGTTACAAACATGTTTGTTGAATAAATCATTTTACTTTCATTATTTTTCCCATTGCCATTAGTATTAACAATAACAAAGACAAAGTGATAAATTGATAATTATATTGAAAATAAAGTGATCTAAAGCCAAAAGATTAAAGGAATACCGATGATATAGGGGGAAATCAACATACGCGTATATTCCCAGGGATCCATTTAATTAAGTCCCCTCTTAATCGGATATTATTTCGTTATTCCCATGACAACTATAAATATAGGGATTTATTTTTCTGATATTATCTTTTGTTTGTTTTTAATATCGTAGAAATCTCCAGTCTTTCATGACTAAAATAGCAACAAACAATGTTTTAACTGAAAAATCTGAATTTAGATTTTGTGGCATTATATTGCCACATTGCTACCTCCACTGATCTCAAAGCTATAGGAATGGATAGAGTATCCTTTCGAATTCAATCGGCCAATTTTGAAGCCAGAATATTTATACAATGAGATGAGATTTTAAAGTCTGTCAAAATCTCTGCAAATCAGATTGCGACGTGTGTAAATTTGCTACATTATCAAGCAACCAGGGCAGTGCCGTAGCCAGGACGATAATGGGGGGGGGGGCACATATTCATATATACGTGTTCTGCTTTATTAATTTCTTCTGAAATCAATTGTTTTTATGGTATGTGAACACGAATATATGAATATGTATCCCCCCCCCCCAATTATCGTTCTGGCTACGGCACTGAACCAGGGCTTGAAATATAACAGCCGATCGCCGATCAATGATTGGCAAGAAATTGCTTATGATCGGCTGAAACGACAGGATTTTTAAACTTGAAAAAGCAGGGAAAGTCTTGACTGACGATCACCATGATCGGAAACTTTGGGAACGCCGTTATTTCAAGCAATTGTCTTTTCTTATGTAATTTGAAAGACATAGTCTCCCACATCTCTTCTAATGAGTTTTAGAACGATTTAAACACCAGATAAACAGACTTGAGATGCATGACCTCATTAGTTATATTCAAGGGCATACTTAAGGGGAAAGAGAGGTCACTGTAGTTAAATTTCTATTGAGACAATGTTTATCCTTTCCCACTGATAACCAGAAATTGTAAGAATCTCGTCCACTGTGTCACCCGGGGTCTTAGCCAGGATTTGCAACTTGGGTGTCCAAATTTGAAATTTCATTTATGACACCCATATTTTTCCATATGGAACCATGGCACCACTTCATACACCAGTAATTCAATGTGATTATTTTCGCATGCTGGGAGTAATCGGTGACCGCGCTTGAGAATCGCTCAAAAAAACTAATAATATATTCAGTTATTCAGACTATGTGACTACTCGCTACACTGACTACAGTAGTACGGTTTAAGTAAATCTGCCAATATATTAATCTTATGATTGATATTATGTTGTCACTTTCATGCTATAAATACAGTGCTTGTAGCTTTGATAAGCTATAGTGTGAGTGAAGAACACAACCAAAAACAACACAAAGCAACTAATTATCTTATATAGTTATATTCTACAGTTTTTGACAGCTAGGCCTAGGAATCTTTGGTTTGACAGATTTGGCAGCTTGCAAGTGAGCAATGTTTATGTTTACCGTCCAAAAGCCGTCTTTTTTAGAAGGCCATCCAAATTTGAAAATGGCCGTCCAAAAGACGGCTGCACTAGGTAGGTTGGCTAAGACCCTGGTCACTATCACCAACACTACAATAGATTTGTGCTGGTCACACCGTCACCGGCCAATTTGGCCACCATTGACTTCATATATACCGCATAGCTGATGCACTATCCAGTGCCTTAGATCAGTGGGTGTCACAATCAGGGAAATTAGCCTTTCTCACGTCGCCATTTTTGGGGTACTGCCTTTTCCAAATCTGAGATTGTACGCAGTGAATAAGGAATTTGTATAACTATAATTGTGAGTATAATCATTATAAGTTGATTTACAGTTGATATTTGAAAAACATGTTTTCACATCGCTTAGATTTTTCACGTCGTTTTGCGTGAAAAGTACCCCAAAAATGGCGAATTTGGCCTTCGCGAGAAAGGCTAATTGATAAGGGAAATCATCTGTTTGGTATTTAGTAATTGCTTCGTGAACAATCTGGTGAAAATAGAATTCGATTGGCTATGCATGTGACACAATTAGGTAGATAAACGTTTAACATACTGAACATACTCCTGGGGGTTTAATTTTTAGTGGCCAAAACATACCAGATAGACAGACAACTGAGACAAGCGTGGGCAGGGGCACGTACATGCGATTACATGGACAGCGATATATTGCTTCAACTGAACGCGATATTTCTTCAGTTAATTCATCCGCGTTGATTTGCAGCAGCTAAATAGTTCGATGAAAATCGCCTCCGTCATTGTATCTGCGTCTCCAGCACCCAGAATTGGAAGAATTTTGCTTTCTGAATCGTATGCCGAACTTGTCGAAGCCATAACAAGAACAACAATGCCTTATTTTAAAATTTATAAGCACAATAGCATATTTCTGTAATACTACGCTATAGTAATTTCTGAATTTGATGGACCCGAAATCTCACGTGACGTACCTTTCCAACATCTGAAATTAATTAGCTCGAAAGCCTTTGAAGTTTGCCGGCCTAACAAACCCTGTCCTCTATTAACTATGATTGACAGTAGTGATTGGGTGGCGGCCAAGAACCACGAAGAACTTGTCCTTGATAATTTTCTGCCAGAGTTGCACCACGTGCGATTGGCAAATAAAACTTGCCAAATAAAACTTATGAAATTTTTTGTCATAGAAAACGTGTTCGCATGTAACCGGCTTAAAATTATTTACAGTCATCTTGAGATAAGAAGTATAAAAGATCTCTCTCATAACTCATAAGTTTACCCATAGGATGGATGAGGTGAGGCTTTAATCTCCCCCGCCCCTCCCAGCAGACATATTGGGCAATTAATTGCTAGGTCTGAACTACTCGGTGTGATATTGGTAATATTTTGTCATGATTTAAGGTTACTTCACATGATGAACGTGCGTTTTAGTCTATTGAACATGGCGCAACGAATTTTAGGTGTCAAACTTTAGCAAATTTTTAGTGAAGCCAGAAAGCCAAGAAAATGCTGATTTCGAAAATCATCATTTGATGGGTGTTGTGTTTAAACATGTCCAGTATTGGCTGACTAAAAAATATAGATAGGTATCCCATAAAAAAATCAAAATATGTTTATAGTTTACCTCAACGTTTCACATATCTCCATTTGAATCTTCATATAGGTACGGTAAAAGACATGTGCGCAAAATTTCTCTTCTTCAATGGTTTTTCTGACATGACGTTTTCTTTGACAACTTCGTGAATTATTAGTGACAAACCAAGAATCAGGGCATATCGGAAATACCACTAAAGAAGAGAAATTTTCCGCAAACGTTTCTTTACCGTGCCTATGAAGATTCGAATTGCGATATCTAGACAAACGTTGAGGTAAACTATAAACATATTTTGATCTTTGTATGAAGGTACCTATATATTTAGTTATTCATGCAGTCAGCCAATAGTGAAAATGTTTAAACTGAACACCTATCAAATGAAAATTTTCGAAATCAGCATTTTCCTGGCTTTCTTCACTGAAAATGTTGTAAATTACATCTAAAATTCGTTGCGCAATGTCCGCGACAGACAAAAACGCACGTTCACCGCGTGAAGTAACCTTAATAGGAGAAATGAAAGTTCGCCTTCAATTTTTATGTTTTCCAAAATTACTATATATATAATTGTTTTTATTAATTGCGTCTGTATAGGAGATGTGTTCCTTCTATTCGCTTTTATTCACCTATCAACATACTCTCATGATAATATCGGGCAATTTCCATCGGGCACGTTTTTGTCCGACCATCTATATCAACTGCCTTATCCCTAGGGGTACAGTATAGGGCCGACCCACATGCAATCATCGCCCCCATTCATACATGGATGAATTCACCCGCCTTCGTATAGCCTCTTTTATAACTTTATTGGGAATATTAACAATAACATCAAATATAGGTATTGCCCAAAAGGAACTAAGTGCGAACGGTTCAGAAAAAGCCCATGCGAGGCACCCCCCTTATAAACTTTACAATTCTATTTACATTACACTATATAAATTATAGTTGAGGTAAAGCTCGATTTGCGCATACCCACAAACTGATCTCTCAAAGCCATATCAATATAGGAGAAGTCATATCTTTGTAGCCGTATCAATACATGTCCTCTTAATTTAA